ATTCATGATGCAATTATTGTAGGCCCAAGTGTGTCAGTGGATTCTACAATAGTTTTTGCTCGATGTTCTGTCTGGCAATTAGTGGTAAATTGTTGGTAAGGTTTCTAATCTGCTAACATCCAGATAAGGGCAGGCAGCCAGCACTACATTCAGTGGAGTTTTCCATCTTACTGAGCCCTGCAGTATTATTAGGAACAGTGCTATTTCAGCTGTGAAAAAAAAAGTGGGAACAAAGTTTTATAATACAGATTTCAATGGCTCGCTCATCTGGTAGAAATGAGTTAAGTAAATTGGCTTGCTTTTCCTGTGTCCGAGGCTTAAAAGAAAGGAGAAAATAAAAAAGCACAAGCTGACATTCTTTCTTGACCTGGTTATCTTTTCAAGCCTTCAATTTATACAGTTTCAAGTGAGAGACATCCCTGAGCCTGTTTCCTGAGTATCAGATCAGGAATGAGGATTTTAGTGCGCCGTCTCTGAGGGGCAATTCCACCACACTAGGCAATAACTGAGAGTGCATGGGAAGAGCTAATGAACATGAAAGACAAAACAAAGGTCCACATTTCCCTTGAATTACAAAGCTCAGCTCAATAAAGGTTCCTCTGTGTCCTGGGAAACCAGAATTCAGTACAGCTAGTAGATTTACAACTACATCTAACTTCACCGTTTTTTTTTATAGCATCTCTCATCTCTCTGTCTCAAAACTCGGTAAAAGTAAACTGGTATCACAGGCTCCTTCACATAAGTAAGGCTGTCTGCAAAGATCAAGACTGACTTCATGGCAGAGCAGCAGCTGCCATCCAAGCTGCCTGACCTCCAAGTAGTTCAGACACAGTCTGACAGGCAATGCTGGCTCATACGAGACCCAGTTACGTATGGTTTATGTGGAGGGAAGAGACTGAAAAATATTCAGTCAGGTTAGGCAGATTGTCATAGATGGGCTGCGCATCTTATTTCTTATGGCCCTAACGTGTTATTTCCCCTGGCTCTACCCCTTCTTGCTCACAGAGTAACTGTATATAGTTTTATTATTGCAACGAGAGCACAGGAGGTTTCATTAGACTGAGAAAGTCACACTCAGTGGGAGCTTCACTTATTTACCTCTGAGTGTGTTTTAGCATCCCCTTGGCTGTTAAGTAGCAATAAAATGTAATGGATATGCTACTTCTCCACGTCAAGCAAGAAGATGTGTTGAGTAAAAGAAAAGTGAGGAGGACAATGAAACAGAGAAAACAGGTACTCTTTCAGCTGCATTTCTAGTGCTTCAAAAGGAACAGATTTCTGTTGCTTCCACTTGTCTACCAACACTGATAGTTATTGGCTTTCTTTTCTTCCCAAAATGACTGAATACTGTTGGTTTGAATGGTCTTTGTTTGGAGTGGGAGAACTTACAAGCTGGAACCATCAACCCGCAGCTGACGTTCTCATACACTTCTCCCACCTGTCTAATTGTAGAATCACAGAATCATAGAATGGTTTATGTTGGAAGGAACCTTAAAGCCCATCCATTTCCAAGCCAACATGGGCAGTGCCACGCAGCAGCTCAGGCTGCGCACAGCCCCATCTTACCTGGCACAGTTGGCCTTCGGGCTCTTGCACACTGATTGCCTCCAGGGATGGGGAACCCACAGCTTCTCTGGGCAGCTGTGCCAGGGCCTCACCACCCTCATAGTGAAGAATTTCTTCCTAACATCTAACCTAAATCTCCCCTCTTTTAATTTAAAGCCATTGCCCTTTGTCCTAAAACTATCAGACCATGTAAAAAATCATTCCCTCTCCTGCTTGGAAGCTCCCTTTAAGTACTGGAAGGCCACAATGTGGTTTCCCACAGCCTTCTCTTCTCCAGGCTGAACAAGCCCAACTCCCTTAACCTTTCTTCATAGAAGAGGTGCTCCAGCACTCTGATCATCTTCACGGCCCTCCCATGGACCTGCTGGCCTCATGAGGTCAGAGCAGAGGATCTGATCATCTTCACGGCCCTCCCTCACCCTGCTGCCTCCCTTCTGTTGATGCAGCCCAGGATACAGTTGGCCTTCCGGGCTGTAAGTGCACACTGCTGGCTCATGTTGAGCTTTTTGTATTTCAGGACCCCCAGGTCTTTTTCCACAGGGCTGAAACACCAGAGAGGTCTTTGTACCTCCTAATGCAGTGAACTGTTCTCAATTAGCCAGTCAGTGGTGATTCATGTTCAGGGAGGTTTATTTTTTATTTTAACCAGTACTATTATTATTATTTTTTTTTTTACATATTCATGTTAGCTATCAGAGGGCTTATGCACTCATTTTTGCCCACTCTCTCCAGGAAAGGATCATCAATTAGAACTGAACTCTAACACCCATTACGCGAACTATCTGAAAACACACTAATAAGTCAGTCAAGAGGAAAATACCCGCAGCCTGGATTTAAAAGCTTCAGAGCATTTTAGACACCTAAATGAGCAATCCTAGAGCTTATGTAAATGTTAATCAGACACAGAACTAACAGACTACGCTCTGTATTTAAAGCATTTTATAGCTAATTCTTGCATTCTTAGATAGCTGCAACCTACACGTTCCATTATTAGACCTGAGCTAAGATTCAGGGTTGAAACAAACAGTCAAAGAAAGATGAAAGGAACACTCTGCATGTGAAGTTCTGGGGGAAAAAATAAAAGTGTTAATAATGTTCTTATTCTACAGAAATCAGGCAATCACAAGTTCTTGCTTCCATGCTGCTAACAAGAGAGGGACAACTGCAGATGTTCAAAACAGGCCAGGCTTCAGTTTTTCTGAGGATAAAAGCAGGGAGGGGAATTCAGTTTGTCCTCTCTGATTACATCCTGGTTTATAGCCAACCTATATACCTGCCAAGTCTAACGTAGCCAAGGTTTTCTCTGGGAATCTGTAACAGATAGTTACTGAAAGTTACTGAGAATCAACTCGGGGCATGCTTTTAGTTACTGAGAAATAACTTCTCCAAAGTAAAGCATGCCCAAAGGCACACAGTACTCAGGGAAATGGCTTAACACAGCATCTGCTCTGACACGCATTTTTCCATACTACTTTCTTCTACTGTGACTCTGACAGGAATGATTTATTATCTCATCTCTGACTTTGAAGCAAAACACCTGCACTGTTGATAGCATTGGTCCCCCATGCATGCCTGATGTGCAAGCACAGAAGTGTTCCCTTACACAAACAGTCCCTTCCACATCATCCAAGTCCCATTCTATTCTAAAGCTTCAAAAGACAATCCTTAATGTTACAAAGAGAACCAGCCTAGGCAGACAATCCACTCCTTCTCTGAACTCTGCAGAAGTTGGACAGCAGAAAATGACTTACCTGCCTCATCTGCTCAAATGTGCAGCCACCTCCCTGACCTTCTTATACACTCAAGCAGCAAGTGACACACAAATGACTAAAGAAGATCTATACATAACACTGACAGAAGATAATACAGGCACTTTCCTAGTTCAGCACAATCATAATTCAGCTTCCTCTACCATATTCATGCAGCTTTATCCTGCTGTAGATTTCTAGTGAGGCTGATTTACAGCTGGGAAAGCAGAACTTGCTGCTTCCACTTGTGTGATAAAATCCGACTCAAGTGATGTACTCACACAGCTCCCCAGCAATTCATTTCCCCAGTGCTTAAAACTACACAAATACATGCTTTCATGTTCAAACTGTTGTATTTGCTTTACTCTGCTTCTCTCCAGATGAACTGCATCTTTGCACATTGCTGATTTTTTGTCTGAAAGACAACAAGGGGGATACATTTCTCATGTCGAAGTTCTACTTCTACAGCCAGGGGAAATTTGATGGCAAAGTAAAACTCATTTTGAATTCTGGCCGCAAGAAACAGAATGCTACTACAAGATTGAAGAAACAGAAACTGTGCCTTTATACTTGAATTTTTAATTGTCACTTTAATGCAGTCAGACTTGCAGAAAAACAATGTGTGTGTGCAATATCAGCTAAGCACAAGATAATTCTACCCTAAAATGTTCAGAAGTAAATAGGAGTTAAGGAAGCTATGCAAAACAAAGCTAAGAATTAAACCAAAGAAGGGTTCCCAGGCTCTGAATGCTTAGCTCTGTCGATACCCCATCTTTACAGCCTAAGGTTCCCCTCTTCCTCATCCCAGATATTGATAATCAGGAGGAAAACAGAGAAACAAAACACCACAGCTCCTTTTTAATGGCCACTTCTGAGTATGTTAAAAACAGTCCCTTTGTATAGCCACATAGTTGTGTGAAGGGAAAAGAGAGCAACAGGACAGCAGCATGCAACACACCTCTCCTTGCAAGAGGTGCAGCCTTCAACCCTTCGTACATCAGTGGCAGCACACAGCTCTTCTCACTGTTGGCTTCCTGTATGTTCACATCTTTTCCATGGCTCTTATGGGGGAACCTTTCCCTTTGCTCACCGTCTTCTCTGCTTGTCCTCACCTCTTTCTTCCTTGTTTCCCCTAATTTAACCCTCTTGTGCCCCCACCATTCATCAGATACGCCCCTTATATCTGGGGTGGGAAGGACTACCCAGAACTTCTCAATCACTTGACTAGGAGTTGTGTCTGTTTGAGAATGCCCAAGGCACTATAGAAGGTACAGCCTTCCTATATAATGTGCCTCCACCACGTGCAGTAGGACTGCTCAGGCCTACTGAAACATATGAATGTGCTCTAAACAAGCCACAGGAGCTTGGATTACAGGATTACACAGACTATCATTAGCAGCACTGCTTGGAACAAAGCTTCCTATCACATTTCAGAAGCAATTTAATTAAATCTTATCTGCATTTGTTCACTGCTGCTACAATAAATAAAGGTACTGATATGACAAAAGCTGAAAAATGGAGAAATTCAAATAGGACATTCCACACAAGCTGCAATATTTCTTCTTTTACCTTCATACTTCTTCCCTGGCATAGCAATAATACGATCCCTCTTTGAACAGAAAGAGCCCAGCTGTAAACACTTCAAGCATATCTATCATTGTTCAGAATTAGGCCCCCAATACTCACCCAAGGTATTTGTTGCAAAGTTTTTTTCAAGTCCATTTTCAGTTAACTCTCTGTTGTTCACCATACACCCTGCATTGTTAATCTGTAAAACAATTCCTGTAAACAAAAACAATCTAGGCAAATGTCTACAAACAAAAGCAAACATACAGGCAAATCATGATAGTTTGACTTTTTTTGGCATGATGCTAAAAACTGTTTCTATAAATCACACTATTCCAATTCAATTTACTGCTACAAATATTTTTCACAGAAGAAAGGATCTTCAGAGAAATGGATTGGTACTAAAAGCCAACCACCTTAGTGCCTTACTCCATGTTTTAAAATCTCATCTCACAGAAGTAATATGCAGGTTGCAGAGCACAGATTTTAGGACAAATAAGCAGTGTAGTACGTTAATCTCATCTGAGAGATCCCATTGATGCTACATGATGATGTACTCTCCATTAGACATTCCTCTACTAGGGAAAATTCACTTTCTGTAGCACCTCTCATGTAGAGCCAAGCTGAGAGATTTGGGGCTTTTCAGCCTCAAGACGAGAAGGCTTCAAGGAGTACAAAAAATAATGGCTTTAAACTAAAAGAGGGGAATTTTAGGTTAGATATTAGGAAAATAGTCTTCACTGTGAGGGTGGTAAGGAACTGAAACAGGCTTCCCAAAGAAGATACGGATGCCCCTTTCATGGAAGTGAGGCCAGGCTGGATGGAGCCCTGGGCAGCCTCATCTAGTGGAAGGTGTCCTGCCAATGGCAGGGTGGGTTGGACAACATGGGGGAGGCATCGTTCTCTGCCATATTTTTGTTTAGAGAAATATGCATAGCCTGAATATACAACCTGAAGGCCACAAAGTTATCAGTAATAAAAGTCAGATAGAAAATCTGCAGTGAGAACTTCAAAAGATGCAACTAAAAAATTACTGCACTTCTTGCTTTTTTGTATTATATCTGTGTATGAACTGAGAATGGACAAAAGCAAATGGACCATGGAAACTTCTGTAGCAGTACTCAGAGAACATTAAGGAGAGAACTGCAAAATCTGGACTATCTGTTGGCTAAGTTCAGAGGACAGGCACTCCAAAGATAGACACATGATTTAAGTATGCAAACTTACCAACACATTCAATTTATGTTCAGTTTTGAATTTTTCAGCAAACTTCCAGATTTCTTTGGGGTTAGAAATATCCACAATATGCAAGAAGATATTCTAAATGAAGAAAAGTAAGTTACAATCAACATGGACAGTGAATAGGTCCTGCTCGCTGTTAAGGCCTGACTAGTTGAAAAGCTATTTTAGTCATATGAAAAAATATTATCTCCAGAACATATCTGAAACACTTATGGCTAAGAAGCAAAATTGGGACATCAAAATATTTTTCTAGGAACATCTTTTGTCATTTGCTCCTGAGCCATGACCTTCTAACGTTTAATGCATGCTTGAAGGGACCCCAGCTTTCATCTCTGTCTCGCAATCTGGCACAGAAAGTCTATCTGCTTCATACACAGCAAGGTAAAACCCAGTCAAGTCAGGTTTGCAATTTATGTGCCACAGTAGCAAGGCTGTAGACCTCAGCCTTCTCTTCTTAACACTGAGTGAAAACAACCCTTTAAACCTCTTCTCCACACACATCTTAGTTCCTTTGTAACTTTGGCAGTCTGGCCTTGCTCTAGGACAAAAAGATTTCCTTGTTCCAGGAGGCTCAAACTGGATGTAGGTGTCCTGCTGTGGTCTCACAAGGGCTCAGCACTTCTCTCAACCTGCTGGCTACACTTGGTCATTCAGCCCAGGGTGCATTTGGTCTTCCTTGCCTCAGGGCACACTGCTTGCTCAGGGTCATGGCATCAACCCCAAGCCCTTTTCTGTAGACCTGTTCTCCAGTCAGTCCCAGGCCATCTATTCTGTGGGATTACTGCAACCCTGGGCAGGACTGCTCTTGATGAACTTGATGAGGTTCATTTCTGTCCATTTTCCCACCTGTTAAGCTTCTCTGAATAGCACCTTTACTCTCCAGCTCTCCACAAATTGAAGCTATCTGCAATCTGACGAAGATTATACTTGATCTATTTGTCCAGACTGTCAGTAGAGGCATTAAACTTGCCCCAGTATTGAGCTATGAGGGGTGCAACTAATAACTGCTCATCAGATCAGCTCTGTATTGTTGACTGCTACTTTCTGAGCATAATAGCCCAAGCAGTTTTCTACCTGTCTTACTGTTCACCAGATCAAACCACATTAGCAAGTGACAAATCTCTCAAGACATCAAGTCAAGACAGCAGGCAGATGCCTCCATCCCCAACAGGAGAGAGCCTCCAGCCATTTTCACCCACCCTTCCTCCTGGTGCCAACAATGGTTCAGGCTCAGCTGGCTTCAAATCCTCCCCGACAGAGTTTTTTCTTCCCCATCTCTTACCATGGCACTATACCTATGCTGTAAATGAACACCTGCAGGCTGAGAACAATCCTGCCTTCTAGTGGTGTTCACAAATGCCCAGTCTTCCCCATCTTAGGAATCTCCATCCATTTACTTGAAGATAGGCCCTAGCTTTCCATCCTTCACGTAAGTGGGGTTTGTGCTCTTCTGCTCTTTGCAAAGACCCTGTCCACCTCCTGTTTCCTCCCCCTAAGGCTATGCAGCTTGCTCCATGTCCAGCAGATGCTTCATCTGGCAGCCCAGCACCTTGGCCACAGCAGAGCCCAACGGATGAGGACCCCATTGTGCTCTGCCCCAGGCTCAGGAAGAAGAGCCAGTCACTCCCTGCAGCACAGCACCCACGTATCATTCCTCTGGAGCAGGGCAGAAGAGCACATCTTTAAGTACATCACTGTGCCCATGCCACTATTTTTAAGCAGAGTGTTGTGTGCCTTCTGCAACCTCTTTCCACACTAAGTGCTGCATGAATCGCCATGTCCCTTTCAGTCGACCCTTGCTTTGAAATGCTATGGGCAGGGATGTGAACACAGTAAAATAAAAGAGGAAAAGCTTGACATGAGAGCAAAGTTATAATCTTCCAACCCACTAAATCTAAAACATTTCCTCTCTCCAAAACATCTAAAGCCTTTTAGTCCTTGTTAAAGGCAATTCTCTGCTTTTGTAAATGTCTGCTCTAGCTAGTATAAGCAGAGTAGCATTTATCAGCATACAGAAGGCACTGCAAATCCTACTCTTCTCCTGCACAGTGCTTAGTCTTGAAGACATACCACAGACAGTCTTATGACATATGCAAGGAAAGGAACTTCCAAGATAGTTATGCAGAGGATGTGTTCCCATGCAAAGAAACAAATAATCATTACAAGATCTCCTCTTTTTTCAAACTGTTCCTTTACTACTCATTACACAAGCAAAAGAGATAAGCGAAGAAGCTGGGAAAATTATAAGGCATCATTCCCAATCTATAATTCTGCTTCCTTGAAGATAAAAACACTTGTCTTCTCTTTAGCCTCTGGATTTCAGCTCCTCATTTGAAGTAGCTCAGAATTTTCTCATCATAATGCTCATTTCTAAACAAAAAACTTGACACTTCTGTAGGTTCTAAGCAGATACCTCTCTAAGAGCCTTCTACTTTTAGAGCTACTACAATTAACTACTGCAACAGAAGAGCAGGAGATTTGGGGGCAGATGTTCAATATTACAAGTGATTTCAGAGACTGAAAAAGAATCTGTTGAAGACTGTCACACTGGCTCAGAAAAGGAACTTACAGATCTGTTCCCTATAAAAGTCTTTCATGGTAGCAAAGTGATTCTCAAGGTGAGATCTAATCTCCATGAGTAGATCTAATTAGAAAATCAGGAGACCTTCCTAGTTCCCAGGTTAAGGTGCAAGTGCCTGCCAAATAATAACTCATCTCAGCATTGAACCCCAGCATGTTTTGCTGTGGTAACTGGAAACAAATCTCTGGCACATATTACAACAGGATTTCTGTCCAGATAATCAGGAAGAGCAAGTTAGGTCTGCTTGTAACTTGTCAAGTTGCAGATAAAGTATTTTATTATCCCTCTGGATTGCTTCTGAATGACTACTTAGAAAGAAGGATGTTCTTGTGGACTTCTTATAAAAATGACTCTTTCCAGTGCAGGGCCACTTGTACAGCTCATCTAACACTTTAACAAATGCTCCTTTCCATACAAGTGCCCAGGACCCCTGGTCACACAGAAGTTCTACTGTGCACTCATGTTCTTTAATGACTAGAGAAACTACAGGTTTGTAGTCTACCAAAACTCAGTATGCAGTAGATGTGCTGCATTTAAAGGAAGAATACTATGTGCCTTGAGTTTTGTTTCACAAATGATAGAACACAGAACATGAAGGAACCCTCAGAGATCATGAAACTCACCCCACTGCTCAGGCTGTCTGACTGCAGCTACAAAACTAACACTTCTAATCACCAGTCCTTTCACAACTGTATCTTACTATAGTCAGGGGATCATGCTTCTCTAGACAGTTGGAGAGTATTTCTACAAGGACTGATCTAATTCACCTCCATTAAAGAGCGGAAGTGCCACTCTTGGGAGCTGAAACTAAAGAGCACAAATTATTCAGTAAGGTATCTCTAACCATAAGAAGTATTCACAATGTTTGACACCATTAAATACTACTACTGGAATCAAAATACTGTGCTTAAGAGCCAAGGCCCTGCTTAAAACGAAGACAGATCTTCATCCAATGTACAAAGACACTGGCTCCACTTCTCCACAAGCACACCCTCTAGAATAATTACCAAAGCAACACTGACAGCTACGGAGGTGTACTGTAGATTGATATATGCAGAAGCAAAAAGAATCTCTAACAGAAAGCAGGAGATAAGGAAAAGATACTGTAAGAAAAAGAGATTGGAAAGTCTATAAGAATAAAATTAGGACTACATACGTGAAGCAGGAAAGACATCCTTTGCAAATCAAGAGCATGTTATTCAGGTTCAGAAAACCTCCAACTCCACAAATGTTGTCGCAAGAGTGTTGCAATGAATTAACTTTTAAAATCCTCAGCAATGTAGTAAGGAAAAGTAGGTAGGACATCACAAAACATAACAACAAACTTACCTGATTGCCAGTTTCTGTCACTATTTCTCCTTTGGCGTCCTCAGCTCGTTCCTTATTGCGGCAAACCAGGTGAACCGTGCCACCTCGTGGATTTTAACAAGAAACATATTTGACAATTAATTACTAAATATGTCAGGGGGACATCAGCAAAGAGAAAGAGCCAGAAAGTAGCTTCCAATTTGCAGTTCTTCTCTGGGGTTAGTTTTTGATACAAATTAGAAGGAATGAGAAACCTTCTGTGACTGCTTCCCATCTGTGAGAAATCTGTAGCGTGCCAGTAGCAGTGCCCACCCTGGAATACTGTGGGGATTTCCCAGCAGACAGAGCACTCCTGGGCTGAGTACATTCCACAGTCCCATTGCTCTGCTGTCAAGAGCTGAGCAGTGGCTTTTCATAGCTGTGGTCTGTGGAGGACCCAGGGCTCCCACAATATTGATGAAGAGCTGGGAAAAAGGTGCAAATCAAAGCCACAGCACTTCACAGTCCCACGTTCACCAGCTTTAATCCACTCCTAGAGACCAGTGCTCCCAGAAGACCCAGAGCAATGGGCCCATGGGAGCTGGTGCTCAGCAGTACAGAGTGGGGCCCAGCCAGCACCCAGGCATGCAGCACATGCCCTCACCGGCTCTGACCTTGAATGTTATGGACACTGATCTCATAGACAAGGAGGTTTTGACGCCCCTCATCCTGGAACTGGGGTTGGACCGGATTAAGGAGCTGCCAGAGCTGTTCTTGGGACAGAACAAGTTTGACTTCATTTCAGACTTTGCTAGCAAACAGCAACCCAGTGCCATCAGCTGTTGAGGGGCTTTGAGCTCCTCCTTGTGTCTTAGTGGTTTTGAGTTTGTTTCTAACTTCCTTCTCCACCCACCATTCTCCTCCCTTCCCCTGCCTTCCCTGTCCTGGATTCCTAACCTCCCTAAAGAGACAATCATTGGACACTGGCTTGCAATAGATTGCTGTGCTACCTAGTAAACCAGACACCAAGAATTTAGGCATGATCTATCAAAGGACAACAGTCTATTAAAAATGTTTCAACAGAAAACTCAGGACACAATAAGCAGATGTACAGCAAAACGTACTAGGGTCCCCAAGCAAGGCTGTGTGAATGGAGAATGCCACTACAGTTCAAACACTCAACTATATTCTCAACCATTAACTCAAGCTATTTTCTATCAAGTTTGCTAGGCATGCTTAGTATTAATGAAACACCAGGGCTGTGCTAGAAAATAAAGCTAAGACATCAATCTCATGAATGTTTGTTTTGGCATGCCTTAGAAAGAAACAACACAAGTGACTTGAAAACAGTGAAAACAGAATAAAAGATGATAGGTATCTATAGGATACCTATAAAGATGATAGGTATCTATAGGTATCTATAGGTATGATAGGTATTGACCTCATCTGGAGTACTGCGTCCAGTTCTGGGCTCCCCAGTACAAAAAAGACAAGGATCTCTTGGAAAGAGTCCAGCGGAGGGCCATGAAGATGGTGAAGGGCCTGGAGCATCTCTCCTATGAGGAAAGGCTGAGTGAACTGGGTCTGTTTAGCCTTGAGAAAAGAAGACTGAGAGGGGACCTGATCCAGGTCTATAAATATCTAAGGTGTGGGGGGCAGAATGGCGAGGCCAGACTGTTTTCAGTGGTGAGTGGAGACAGGACAAGGGGAAACGGCCAGAAACTGCAGCATAGGAAGTTCCGCACAAATGTGCGCAAGAATTTCTTTACAGTGAGGGTGACGGAGCACTGGAACAGGCTGCCCAGGGGGATTTTGGTGAGTCTCCTTCTCTGGAGATGTTCAAGACCTGCCTGGACGCCTACCTGTGCGACCTGCTGTAGGGAACCTGCTTTGGCAGGGGGTTGGACTCGATGATCTCTGGAGGTCCCTTCCAACCCCTACAATTCTGTGTGATTCTGTGAGGTATCAGAATATTTCTCAGCAGAGGCAGATTATATGACAAGAACCACGGGCACAAACTGCAGCCTGGAAGGTTCAGGACAGGCATTAAGAAAAAAGTTGTCATGAGGAGATAGATCAGCCCAGTCCTGCCCTGAGAGGTGGTAGAATTTCAATAGAATGGAAATTAGGGGCTTTCAAGATCAAGCTAGGCAAAGCAGTGACCAAATTGATCTAGTGATGGCAAAAGTTCCGCTTCAAATGCGATGCTGGACAAGATGACCTTTAGGTACCTTCCAACCACTTTTTCTACAGAACAAATACTCAGGACAAGGGTCTTCTCCAAGGACTGGATATGTATCATGCCCTAATAGCACAGCGACATTAAAGAGAACCTTCAAAAACAGCACTGAAATATAAGCAGACATCACTGTTATTCTTATGGTTTGCATTCCTTAATCATTACAAGAAATTTGTTAATCTCAGTTACAAGAACATATTGTATTGTACTCCTTAGTTCAGTTTACTGTTAAATGTGTTTTAGGGGTTCCTAGCAGCCCAATGCTAGAAGGCTTAAGAAATGTAATCCCAAAGGAATTCTGATGAAAGCAATTAGTACCCAAATGCAAGACATCAGAACTATTCCAGGGATGGAGTAGTCACATACCCATGTGCTGCACAGCCTACTTAGGGCTCTGAATGTGCAATTGTGTCTGAGAGTTTTTCCACTGACTACAATTAGAGCAAGCATACTGGGCATGCAGCTGAAGCAGGCAACAAGCCTTGAGATTTTTTGTGCTACATATGCACTGTGCATAGGAGGGACCCTGCATAATCAGGCACTAAGCATATACAGATCAGAATGAAAGACAATTTTTGCCTCAGTGAGACTAGATTTCATGAGTGAAAGGACAGACAAGTATCAGAACATGCAGTTTCCAATGCTCATCTGTCAAGCCATTCTTTCAGTGACTGTAGGCTTCGCTGCACAAAGGAGGGCTTTAATGAGAGATCTTAAGGCAGTTGAGGATTTGCAGATGTTTTAAGAGCTCTTCCCAAAGCACAAGAGACTGCACAAGCACTGTACTTGTATGAAAAAAAAATACGCAGAGGAGCTAGCTGCCCTTCAGCTGATTGGAAACATGGTATGGTCCCAAAGGTGGATTTGAAGGGCTCTGAATATGAATGTTTCCTTGCTGCCCAGATGAGAGTTGTTTTGGTGCAAACCATGGGCTAGGAAAGGCCCATCATACGAAAGACATATTTAAATATGTCTTTCATGGTAAAGACCTAGAATTATCTGAATTTAAACAACACATGGGACTGAGAAAAACCTGCATCAAACCTGAACTGCAGCTCACAAGATATATAGGAAAGCCCACATCTGCAGTACGCATAGTACTGGCTGTGGCTGGCATGGTATTAGTTTTTTTCATAGTGGCTCATATGATGCTGTGCTTTAGATTTGTGAGTAAAACAATTCTAGTAACACACTATTTTTTATCCTCTGCTGAACAGCACTTGCACAGTGCCAAGGCCTTGTCTCTCACTTTAGCCTTTCAGTGAATAGATCTGAGGGTGCGCAAGAGGTTGGGTGGGGACACAGCTGGGACAGCTGACCACAGCTGAACAAAGAGATATTCCATGCACATATCATCATGCTCAGTAATAAAGAGGAAGAGAGGGGGCTTTAGGAGCTAGCCATCTCTTGCTCAGGAACTGGCTGGGCATCAGTCTACTCATGGGAGTTAGTGAGCGATTGCTTTTGCATCACTTGTTTCATTTTCTTTGTCTCTTATTTAACTTCTCCATCGTGCACTAAACTTTTTTTTATTGTATCTGGACTCACAAGTTTTCACACTTTCATTCTTCTTTTCCCCTTCCCTCACCCTACTGCTGGTGGAACAGGAAAGTGTGCAAACTGTGCGGCACTTTGCTGCCTGCCAAGGTTAGCCCACTACACCAACATGACACTGATTCAGAAAAGAGCTGAACTTAGGCTACAGAAGATGTAATCAAGACTGCCATAACTTACAAGGATATGATGTGCACGCAGATGAAGCCAATGTAGCTGGTTATTTGTTTGCTGAGTGTAATTCCTTGCTTTCTTGTTGCAACGCACTTCAAGAGATTCAACTAGAAGTGAGTCCCAGTTGCTGACACGGAGTTTCAGAGCAACACATTCAAGAATGGGATCAGGAATTTCTTCTTGACTTAAATGATTAAGTCAATTTAACTTCATATGCACAACCATGCCCTAGAAAAGTATCAGGCAAGAAGTCTGAGTCTAAAGTTATTCTTTGAGCTCAAATGTAGATATAATGACCAAATCCTATGCGTCAGTTCAGTCTGATATGCAGGAGAGATATTGTCCCTCTGTATTCTGCACTGGTGAGGCCACACTTCAAGTACTGTGTTCAGTTTGCAGTCCCTCACTACAAGAAAGATATTGAGGCCCTGGAATGTGTCCCAAAGAAGGGTAACAAAGCTGAGAACAGTCTGGAGCACAAATCTTATGGGGAGTGGCTGAGGGAACTGGGATTGTTTAGATTGGACAAAAGGTGGCTCGGGGGAGACCTTATCACTCTCTACAACTACCTGAAGGGAGGTTGTACCAAAGCAGGGGTCAGCCTCTTCTCCCAGGTAACTAGTGACAGGACAGGAGGTAATGGCTTTAAGGTGCTCTAGGAGAGATTCCAGTTGGATATTAGGGAAAAAAGAGTGGTCATGCACTGGAACAAGCTGCCCATACCTGGAATCATTTGAGAAAAGCATAGATGAAGCATTGGGCGTCATGGTTTAGTGAGTATTATGGTGATGGGTTGACAGGTGGACTTGATCATTTTAGTGATCTTTTTTAACCTAAATAACTCTAAGCAACATCTGGTGGGCAGCTCCATCTGTAAGCAGAAGAGTCACCAGGCAAAGCAATAAATTTATGATGCACGACTGTAGCAGGAACCTGAGATCAATCATAAACTGGTATTGAGGGGGATCTTTAAGTCAAAGGCTCTTCGATGCTAATAATTTTGAATTAGTTTAATTTAATCAAATCTCCACTCTCCTTCATGAGATAGTTGCTAGAGCCTAAGCAGGCAAAGAGAACCACAAACTCCTTTTTATTCTACAGGCCAAAGTGCCTGGAACTCTTGCACAAGGGGAGTTATTTTATCAGCCCTAAACAGGATTAGTTTTATCCTTAAAGAGTAGCTAATTCCAGTTCATGTCACCTCCTTGCTTACACAGAACAATGTATTTAAAAAAAAAAAAAAAAAGAAAAAAAAAGAAAAAGGCTGGCTAAAAGGTGCCAATTCCAGGCTGTTATCGTCACGATCAAGTACACCACTTTGGTCCTTCTGTACTCTTCCCATCTCTACCTTTGCAAAGCCACCTGTTTTCTTCCATCACATGCTATATATTTAAGTTCCTCACTCTGTTCACATTCCACCAAGGTGATACTTGTACTGAACCAGCCTTATGTAGACCATACTCTGTCAGTAACACCATTAAATGACATTATAGCACTGGTGGACAATACTGCTAAACACACACATGAGAAACATTGGACATTTTCTCTATTTACATTTTTGTTGCACTATTTCAGTTTTCACACCGCTGACCACACTTAATCCTTCAACCCAAACTAAGAGCTCTGTCCCCTCGCTCCAAAGAGCCGCATGTTCCTTATTTGTGCTGGAAGCCAGATTTGCTTCCCCTCCTCTCTCCTGCAGCCCGGGGTGGTTCCCCAGCTCACCTCTCCGCGCTATCTCCCTGGCTGCAGCCTTGCCAATGCCGCTGTTGGACCCAGTGATCAGAAAGGATCTACCGGCCACGTCCACCTCCAGATCTGCCGGGTCGAAGTGCTTGGAGGCAGATTCGTAACCGCTCCTAGATAAATCAGAGAAACTAGAATACAGCAATTCCAAAACAAAACCAAAAAACACAGGGAGGGCTGAAAAGGGCTTTCCCTCCGCAGCTCAACGCTCCTCTCTCACAGAGCTGCCTGGTCGCAGAGCCACTGTGGAGCAAGTTCTGCGGCAACGACTCCAAACGGCCTGTGTGGGAGCCGAAGGGGCTCGGACTGCTCAGCTCGGGCTCACGTGCGATCTTCCTGCACTGAGCTCAGGGTAAGGCTGGCTATCAAAAGACACGTAAGGGGCTGAAATTCGCCCTCTTTGGGGGACAGACTTCAATTAACAGGGAAAATAAAGGCGCAAAGCCTTGAACTAGCGAACACCCACATACATACGCACGCACCCCAAGCACCGCCCCCGCCTCGCAGCAGCGCCGCATTCGCCCCGCGGCACAGCCCGCTCTCGGGGGCGGCGGCCCCGGTACCTCGTGTACTCCCGCAGCCCCTTCACGAACCACACGACGTTGCGGTACCACGACATGGTGCTACCGCCACCACCGTGACTCGGTCCCGCCTCTGCCTTACGTAAAGGTGCCCGGTCCAGCCCTGCCCGCCGTTGGGTGAGAGCCCGGGGCAGCCCCGCCCGGTCCGGCGCCATTACGGCTCGGGCAGAGGCGTGTGAGTGAGGATGTTGTGTGTGATGGTGTTCACTTCAGCGGTCTGATTTTTATTATTATTATTTTTAATTAACTAGCTCCCTCAACCTTTCTTCATAGGAGAGGTGCTACAGCCCTTTGATCAAGGCTCTCCTCTGGACCCACTCCAACAGCTCCCCATGTTTCCTGACGCAGTACTGCGGATAGGGCCTCACGAGGGCAGAGTAGAGGAGACAATCACCTCCTGTCCCTGCTGGCCACTCCTCTTCTGATGGAACGCAGGACGCCATTGGCCTTCCAGGCTGCAAGCACACTGCTGGCTCATGTTAAATTTGTCATCAACCAAAACCCCTAAGACCTTCTCAGCAGGGCTACTCTGAAGTTCTTCTCCCAGTCTGTATATGTATTTGGGATTTCCCTGACCCAAATGCAACACCTTGCTTTCTTGAACCTCATTAGTCTCACACAGGCCCGCTTTTAAGCCTGTCTGGGTCCCTCTGGATGGCACCTCTTCCTTCTGTCATTATCAGCCACATTATCAGCTTGGTGTCATCAGTAAACTTGCTGAGGCACACTCAATCCCATCATTTCTGTCATTGATACAGATATCAAAGAGTACCAGTCCCAAGACTGACCCCTGGGGCGCAGTTCAGCCTCCACCTGGACACTGAGCTATTGAAACAATCCCTGGCTGCGATCTTCCAACCCATTCCATATCCACTGAAGTGTCCACCCTTCAAACCCATCTCTCTCCAATTTAGAGAACATCATCAACTTTTAGGAACATAAATAGCCTTATTGCACCACACCAAATAGTATTTCAGGTAGCAAATGAACCTGTGAAATTCTTTGCTCCTACTAATGGGGTAATACATACCAGTAAGAAAGAGTATGCAAGTAGCAATTACAGTAGGAGGAGTGAAGTTTAAAATGTGTTTTCAGTTCCTCTGGAATGTGTGTTAAAGCTGCTAAGCCCCAGAGAATCATCTGGAGTTGCACATCTGGACAATCTATGCTAGCTGTAAGGAAATTGTCATTGTAGGCATAATTATGTTCTTAAGCATGTTGAAGGACTAGGCACTTAAAAACATCAGTGTGCAAGTTAGATTAATTCATGCTTTTTATGTGCCTTTCAAGGCCACAGGCACACAACCTGTTTTAGGAATCCAATCTGTTTTCAGCAGTTTCAGTTGGCTGGTTTCAACAGCAGAGACAGAAGAAATTGAAATATTTTGTCTCTTCTAACCCCATTTTGTAGCCTGGTACTTCTGTTTCTAGATCTCTTCATATTGGTGAAGGGCTTGTACACAAGTCCTCAGCTCTCAACTCAAGTTTCTCAGCTCTCACACAAAATGTTCTTCCCACCATGAAGTTAAAACTTCAGGACTCAGCACTGTGCTTATGCTAAGTATTGTATGTGAAATAACATTTTTCAGAGGGTAAAAAGACACATTTTCACAGGGATATCTTCTTCCCTACAGAGACCATCTAGATAAATATCATACCTTTGCACCAAATCTGAAAATGCTTGTTCTTATTAAAACAGATGGAAGAATTTATTTTAACCAGTCAGTTTAAACCAATTTTATTTGTTTGTTCTTGGAAATGTCTAGGATGTTTTGACTGAAGTCTTCCTAAACAATTCACCCTGATTCTGGTGCTCAAAATGGATTCTTCTGACCCAAAAAGTAACAGCTTGGCAGTGGTGTAATTGGCAACATTATTTCTGTAATGGAAAGTGAATGGCTGCCTGAACTACAGATACATACAGAGGTCACTCTGAAGGTAATGCCTCCTGTTTATTTCCATGGAAACCGCAACAGATGCAAAGAGCACAACAACACTGTTTGATAGAGCTACAAAACACTATTTTCCAACATAATCACCACCAATTAGCTGTACATTTTTGCTAGTGATGAACAAGAGACTGCATGCCATCCTTATGAAAATCTGCACCAGCAGAGGTCACCCACTGTTTCACAGCTGCTGTGATGGCATCATTGCTAGGAAAATGGTGCCCAAGCAGTCCATCTTTCATCAGACCGAACAAAGAAAGTTAGAAGGTGCTAAATCTGGACTATACAGTGGATATGTTATGACAGTCTAACCTAGACTGGCAGCCTGTGGCCTTCAGACTGATATAAGGCATGGCATTATTGTGTTACAAGAGGAAGATTTTCTTCTTCTCTGGCCTGATTCTGGAAGTTCAAGCCTTCAGCTCTGTCAGCTTTGTGATGTAATGGTCAGAGTTGATGGTTTGTCTGGGTTCTAAGAAATCCAGCAGGATCACCCCTTCCCTAGCCCAAAAGACAGTGCACATTGCTTTACCTGCTGAGGACTGCTTCTCAAACTTTTTCTTCAATGTGGAATTCACATTCACCAGTCCATGGGCTGCTGTTGTTACTCTGGCTCGTAGTGGTGACATCACATCTCATCACCAGTAATGATGCAATCCAGGAAACTGTCCCCTTCAGTCTTGTATTGGTTCAGTAGGTCCTGACAAACTTGCATATGGGGTTCTTTCTGTTCCTGTACAAGCATCTGTGGGACATACCTGGTGCAAACTTTGTGATATTCCAACATTGCCACCACCATTTCCAACACCTTGAAGCTAATTCATAATCTTGCCTCCACTGCCATTTGTCACAAAGCAATAATAATGGGATATTGGCAAGAAGTTTCAAACTCTACTGCCATACCGACAACATTGGCTCTGATGTCATGGACCATAGTCAATAGGAGGCATTACTTTTGGAGCAGTCTCCATCCTATGTAAATGTAAATATGTAATACTGAGCTGTATGGAAACAGTTTTGTGATCATCACCTACAACCTGCAGTTAGCAACCAGAACTGCACAGCAACTGCTGAAATGATGTTAGATAATCATATTCACTGTGATCTGAGCAGATGTCAGGTTTGTGCAAATCCTGCATGCTGTCTGACATAACATTCCTTCTTCTTCATTTGAATCCCTTGCCCTGATAGCCCTCCAGCTTCTGCTTTTTCCTTACAGACTGTTCAAATCTGTCTGGTTCCTCTCCATGAATGCTGGTTCTGGGAAAACACACAGCAGAGCAGAAACAGAGTTACGTGAGCACGCCTGCTGCTACAAACATCCAGTGTTGCCCCAGATATTTATGCTAGTTAGAATGTCTCACCTTGGATGTTGTAACCCTCGGTGCTTCTCAGTATGCTGTCCTAGGATAGTAATGTTCCACGGTTGCTTACCCTGCAGAATTAGCTGCATTCTTTACAGGAAACATGATTTCAGTTTGAAAAACGTTAGCAAATCCCAAACAAAATTCCTGTGGAAGTTCCTGTGAGTGCACTAATCCGGGTTGTGCTTTATTCCCTTGTCACTCCTCTTTTTACCCTGCATATTTGTGAAGTGCATACAGCTTAACATAAAGCAAAAATGGATGATGGTTCTGATGTGTTTTGTTCGTAGTTTTGTCTACGTTCTCAAAGATAAGGGGAACATGTCTGCAATCTGCAGGCGTCTCTAAAAGTAAGTGGAAGATGGAAGATTGACAAGATTGTGCCTCTCTTCCAGGCTAAACCATTTGAACTGGAATCATCTGGGTGTTGTGTGGTCCAACATGGAGGGACTAACCAGTGTGAGTATGCATGGCAGAAGCTTCCCACTAGTCAAACACAAAATATAATAACATAGGCAGACAGTGGGAGAGCTTACAGCATTTTAAGGGTTAGGCAGAAATGGAAAATGAGAGCATATTACTTCTGTTTGTTGACATTAGGGCCTCAGAGAATGAATGTTTGTTAGGAAGGAGTTTGAATGTAGAGCTGGGAACTTATATCACATTTGTACACACTCAATTTTACCTAAGGATATTAAATAAATACAATAGCACCAATACTGTGATCATAGAATCATAGAGTTACAGAATTATAAAATGGCTTGGATTGAGGGACCTCAAGGATCATCAGTTTCCAATCCCTCTACCAGAGGCAGGGTTGCCAATTTCTAGACCAGGCAGTAGATCAGATTGCCCACGGCCCCATTCAGCCTGGCCTTGAACACCTCCAGGGACAGGGCATCCTCAGCTTCTCTGGGCAACCTTTACCAGGGCCTCACTGCCCTCCCTGTGAAAAACTTCCCCCAACATCTAATCTAAATCCAGCCCTTTGAATGGTCAAAGGGTTCTCCAGACCTTTGACCACTTTCATGACCCTCCTCTGGACTTTCTCCAAAAGCTCCACATCTTTTCTGTGTTGGAGGTCCCAGATTTGGATGCAGTACTCCAGATGGGGCCTCACAAGGGCAGAGTAGAGGGGGGCAATCACTTCCCTCATCCTGCTGGCCACCCTTTTTCTAATGGAACCCAGACACCATTGGCCTTTCAGGCTGCAAGCGTGCACTGCTGGATCATGTTAAGTTTTTCATCAACCAACCCCTAAGACCTTCTCATCAGAGCTACTCTCAATGAGTTCTTTCCCAGTTTGTATACACTATGCCAGTCCAAGTGCAAAACCTTTCACTTGGCTTTGTTGAATGTCATCAGGTTAGCTACACCCTTCTATCAAATACAGTTTCCAGGAGTTTCTCTAAGTGTTGCTGTTATTTCATTTCTCCTCTTGTGATGTTTTGCCTTTGTGTTGTTCCAGAGGCAGGAGAGATGGAATAAGTGCTGCCTACTAACCCAGCCATTTCAGTGACAAGGCATTAGAGATTGTGTGCAGGAGAATGATAAGACTGTATTGCCAGGAGCTGGCTGATGCTACTGAAGTACTGAAGTACTGGCAGTACACTCACAGTAAAAAAAATCCTCCTATGTCAAGGGTTTTTTTTTTTTTTGGCTGTGTGTTCCCTTTTGTACTGAATTCTAGGTTGATGCTCTTTGTTAGCAGATTTAGAATCCATTCTGGCATTTGGAAAATTTGGGAAGCTGCAGC